TACGAAATGCACGTACTCGATAATTGCGTCAATGCTTCATAATTCTTATGAATTATTTACTGGTTCCCAGGGCTGACGCAATATGGAAACGGTTAATATTAATTTCGGCGCATGAAAACGGATTTCACTATTCTTAGTAAGAGCTAATTCGCAAAGTGGGTAATGGATTTCGCTATTGGCCCAACATCTATTTGATTACAGCAAGTGATCGAGGGAGTAGCGAGTTAATTAGTGTGGACGGTCGTGCGACATCCAATAACAGCTGACCCGGGTACTACTAGCGATTGTCTCAGCATTGACGCGCGTTTGACCTGCCATTTTAACTAGCTTCAGATTTAAATTAATCTATTAAACATTTCATTTGTTTTAATATTTTTCTCTTTCCTTCTCTTTTAGGTATGCCTAAAGAAAACTTTTGCTCATGTTACATATTGTTGAACTTTGTCCGTTACATATTGATGCATGCATGATATTTGTACTTTAATGTGGCCAATATGCCTAAGTTAAGGTCACAAAGGCCACAACTACAATGATAGTTTAATATTTATTATAATGAATTGATGACAATATTGACTTACGGATTGAATGAAGATACCATTGTAACTATATATATATGCATGCTCGCGATCGTAGCAAAATAACACCTGGAAATTATACCTGTGACGATATCGAGATATATGTACCCAGTATTTAAAATTACTGGCCTATTCAAAAGTACGTAATTAATTTCACTAAATTTGCAAATATCGATAAAAATATATATGGCAAACGAATATGCATATGTCAAATTGGCAAGAATTTGGCAGCAAATTCACATTTACTGCAAATAATAAAATGAATCAATAATGGCATCATATGCGATTATTTTGCGATTTTCTATATTCGCCCAAAATTCGCCACAAATTCGCATTACCTGCAAATATAAAAAACGACACCACCTTTGCATCAAATTTGCAATACGTGGCATCGCGGTATTTGCAATCCGGCACATGGTGCAAAGTCGACGCCAATTTATAACTTTGCATATGTGCAAATGTGGTCAAAGATGTGCGATTTTAGAAATCGCTTCAAATTTGCACATACATTTGCACATATGCAAATCCAATTTTTCATCCCGTATATATAATTGGTATTCAATATTTTACGAAACCAAAGGCAAACGACTAACAAATAATGAAATAATACTGTAAAATTTCTTTGCATCACGTCCTGTGTATACTACTAGTGTTCCAACTATTAAACTAAGATATTTATACGAACAACAATAAACCAAACTTTTCTAATTAATCAAAATAATGTCAAAACAACAAAATTTTCCTGGTAAGCGGAATGAAATTTTCTCAAATAAACACAAGAGAAATCATCCTGCTTACCTACCTTACCGGGCTGTCTTTCTAAGCGGGCCAGCCCGGCTTCCATACAAACAGGCCCGAACAGTCTCTGTCTGGCAATTACAATGTTCTAATGTCCAAACTCTAAAGTATTATAAACAAGCAGAACAGACCACTTATTGCAAGTTGCTAGTATTAAGTCATATCAACATGCGATCTCGACAATATACAGTGTATAAACTAAAGTAATTCCGCTTCTACACATGAAGCGACTTTAAACACTATCCTTACACTTTATCAATTCATTGAAGTTTGTACTTAAAAGACATTCTATTTGTAGTATTAAATCATAAGACATATTCTATTTGTAGTATCAAGTCACATCAGGATTTTATAATCTAGCGTCTTTGGATCCAAGTGATCTAGAGTTCTATCTTGTTAAAACCTATCCAAGGAAAAACAAGAAAGGGATATTGAAGTAATGGTGTTTTTGAGCCAAATAAATTCGAATATCCACAAGTATAAAAGCAGAACTCAGTATATACCGGAGACAAAATGGCATCATAGCGAACACATTTTAATGATGCTCAAATTTATATTCAGTGCGCTATATTTTTAAAAATATGACCTGTTTGCTTTCTAAATACAACAAAATTACCGCTTTACCTTCTGTTCAAATAGTTCCACAGATAAATCGAAGTCACAATTCGTACTACTTGAAAAAAAAGCTGTTTTTACTGCAGAAATGACAACTTCCCAATATAATTTTCTATTGTCAACACTGCATTACACTTGTTTAGCTCGCGCATGCGCAGTATAAAAGATGGGACATGTTTCCGCTTGAGTAAGACTTCTGGTCCTATTATCTATTCTGTGTTCACATGCTGCCAGGCCATAGAAGCAAAGTTGATAATTTCAAATAAATAAATTTGTAAAACAAGTGGAGACTCGAACGGAGATGCTCGAGTTCATTTCATTTCTTGCTTGTTTGGAATTCGTTGTTCTAATTATATCGTTCATATCACAGACAGAGCTCATATCACAACAAAATACTGAAGCCGAAGCCAGTTCTTTGCTTGGAAAGTATTTATTTATTTATTCAACTTCGCGAGGTAAAATTACGCGATTGATAACATTGTTCAAACTTTGACAAGAGTCACAATTTAAACATACAAATTCAATGTTCTTGGGTCCTCTGCATCAAAACAACTGTGTAGGGCTTTCGAATAATCCTGTCGTAACAAACTTTTAAATGTACTTAAACATATATTATTTATTTGAGAAAGAAATTATTTGTATCCTGCCAACGGGTTATGGAAAGTCTCTGATTTTCCATCTGACCCCATTGTTGATGTTTGCAAGGGATCATATCAAACAAGTAGACTTTCTTTCTCCATGGAAATCAGTTGGGATATCTACACAGGACTTTCGTCCATTGTTATCGTTGTGTCCCCCTTGAATTCACTGATACAAGATCAAATATCTCGACTGAAATCAAGTGGCCTTCGCGCGTCTGCCATTTCTATAAATAGTTGCAAAGAAATATTCATGGAAAATTCGAATCACAATTGGATTGCAGATTTTGGGTTTAAATAGGGATTACTAACATACGTATATTGCAGATTTTGGGTTTAAATAGGGATTACTAACATACGTATACGGATGACTATATTTATTAATTACTGTAAATAAGTATGTTCGAAACGATTATGAGCAAGCTGGGTAAATTAGATATCATTGATGGCCGTATGATATCGATGGAACAAGAACTGAAGGAAGTAAAATAATCTTTAGAATATGCATATGCTGAAGTTGAAACGCTGAAGAAAGAAAACGCAGAGCTAAAGAAGTCAGACTCGGACACGAAAGAAAGATTGGCGAAAGTAGAAGAGCAGAATTCAGCATTAAATAGTCGCGTCATTGACCTACAAGCAAGGTCAATGCGCGACAACTTAATGTTTTATAATTTACCAGAGCGTGAGGACGAAAATACAAACAACCTCATACATAACTTATTACAAGAGCAACTTGGAATATCGGATGCGAAGACTATAAAGATAGACCGTTCACACAGAATAGGCAGAAGAACACCGGGATCGAGAAGACCAAGAGCCATTGTCGCGAAATTTAATTTTTACCCGGATAAGGAACGTATACTGGCTAACGCGAGGCGATTAAAGGGTACAGGAATTGCAATTTCTGAACAGTTCCCGGAGGAAATTGTTAAATTAAGAAAGCGACTACTGCCAGAAATGAAGAAAGCACGTGAGGATGGTAGGAGAGTAAAATTAGTTAGATATAAGTTATATATAGATGGCCAACTTTTTAGACATAATTCTACTCACTAGGTTTCATATTACATATAAACAAAATATGCTATCAGTCTATCACGCTTACATTAATTAATATTATATATACATTCAACTATGGAACAAATAACAGAAAGTAACAAAAATTTTCTTTCACAAAATGTTACTAATTCTAAAGTTTCGGCATTTCACCATAAGAAAGTAGTCAGCGATACAGATATGGTTAGACTAAATATATTGAAATTCAATCCC